TGACTAGTTTTGGGTTAGGTGACTGACTGGTTTTGGGTCAGCTGACTGGTTTTGGGTCAGCTGACTGGTTTTGGGTCAGCTGACTAGTTTTGGGTCAGGTGACTGACTGGTTTCCGGTCAGGTGACTGACTGATTTTTGGTCCAGTGCCTGATTTTGGGTCTGATGGCAAACTGGTTTTGGGCCGGCTGACTGGTTTTTGGTCAGGTGACTGGTTTTGGGTACTTTGACTGACTGGTTTTGGGTTAGGTGACTGGTTTTTGGTTAGTGACTGGCTGGTATGTGATCGGCTGGTTTTGGGTCCAGTGACCGACTGGTTTTGGGTCCGGTGACTGCCTGGTTTCAGGTCCGATGGCTGCCTGACTGCGGGTCCGATAACTGACTGGTTTCGGGTCCGGTGACTGACTGTTTTGGGTCAGGTGACTTGTTCTGGGTGCTTTGACTGACTGGTTTTGGGTCCGATGAGTGGCTGGTTTCAGGTCTGATGACTTCCTTGTTTCAGGTCCAATGACTGAGTGGTTTAGGGTTCGATCACGGACTGGTTAAGGGTCAGCTGACTGGTTTTGGGTCAGGTGAGTGACTGGTTTTGGGTCAGGTGACTGACTGATTTTTGGTCCAGTGCCTGGTTTTGGGTCCGATGGCTAACTGGTTTTGGGCCGGCTGACTAGTTTTTGGTCAGGTAACTGGTTTTGGGTGCTTTGACTGACTGGTTTTGGGTTAGGTGAACGGCTGGTTTTGGGTCCAGTGACTGACTGGTTTTGGGTCCGGTGACTGACTGGTTTTGGGTCCGGTGACTGACTGGTTTTGGGTGCTTTGACTGCCTGATTTCGGGACCGGTGACTGACTGGTGTCGGGTCCGGTGACTGACTGGTTTCGGGTCCGGTGACTGACTGGTTTCGGGTCTGGTGACTGCCTGGTTTCAGGTCCGATGGCTGCCTGACTGCGGGTCCGATAACTGACTGGTTTCGGGTCCGGTGACTGACTGGTTTTGGGTCAGCTGACTGGTTTTGGGTCCGATGAGTGGTTGGTTTCAGGTCTGTTGACTGCCTTGTTTCGGGTCCGATGACTGACTGGTTTAGGGTTTGATCACGGACTGGTTTTGGGTCCTATGGCTTACTTGTTTTGGGTCAGGTGACTGACTGGTTTTGGGTGCGATGACTGCCTGGTATCGGGTGCGATAACGGACTGGTTTCGGGTCCGATCACGGACTGGTTTCGCGTCCGGTGACTGACTGGTTTCGGGTCCGATGACTGACTGGTTTAGGGTTCGATCACGGACTGGTTAAGGGTCCGATGACTGACTGGTTTTGGGTCCAATGGCTGACTGGTTTCTGGTGCTTTGACTGACTGGTTTTGGGTCCAATGGCTGACTGGTTTCTGGTGCTTTGACTGACTGGTTTTGCATCGTTGCAGTTCTGGAAGTCCAACCCCAGCATCCTGGCGGTGCAGAGATCAGCGATGCTCAGGAAGCAGCAGCAGCAGCAGCAGCAGAGACGAGGCTCCTCCCACAGCGGGTCAGACGAGGTCAGTGCTCCTTCAGGATCCTTGGTGGAACCCGGTTGGTCCGTTCATCTAAGGCGGGGGATCCCAGCCCGGCCCCCCCAGGGCCCCCGTCCTTAAAAGAACAGATAATCAACAATTAACCAGATAAATCGTTAAATCATTTAGTAATGGATCAATGGTTCCCCGGATAGAGACTCTCAAACACCTTTAGCTGATCCCACCTAGAGCAGGAAGTATAAAAATAGATCAGCGTCATTAATCAGTCAGTCTGCTCTATGCAGAGGAACAGTTTTAGTTTATAAAAAAATTATCTTTAGGAATATTCTAATGAATCCATTAGCAGAATAACCATGGCGGTAGAAACTGGCCTATAGTTCTGATTGATGGTAATGTGAAATGGATGCATGACTAGAGGCTCATGCTTCTACCCAACCAGGTAGAAGCACTCCACCTGCTGCTCCACCTGCTGCTCCTCTGCTGCCTGCAGGTGGAGCAGCAGGTGGAGCTGCTCCACCTACCGGCAGAGGATGCTCCTTCCAGGACATTAAGCCTGGCTTTAAACCAGGATATAGGGCAATAACTGCTGCTGCAGTCCTCAAACTAAAGCCAGGCTGATTTCAACCTGTGTTGCTAAAAAGCATCAAAACACAAATGCCTCATGTGGTCACGGTTGCTTGGCAACCAAAGTGACAGTGAGGCAATGGCAGGGCTGGTGCTGAAGGCTGGACCGTTCACAGCTGATCACTTCCAGCCATCGTTTTTCAGGCCTTTGTGAAGCGGTTTGGGACGGGTCGGCCTGGTAAATGACCCGTCCTCCCCTCTGATCCAAAGCGGGTCTACTGCGGCCTCAGCCGTCTGCCGTTTGAGATTTGGGTCAGAGGTGGATGCAGGTTGTAGTGTTGCAGGCGGCCCAGTTTCAGGGTTCTGACATCATTCTCCTGCTTCCATTAGTCCAGCGGCTTGTTGACCCGGTAACAGCCTGACACTGTGGCCTTTTGTTTTCCAGGACTCTTCCAGTAGTGATGAATCTGACACCTCGAGCGGATCCAAGAAGAGAGGGAATTCTGGCTCGTCCAACTCTGGATCGGGTTCTGGGAGTGATTCCGGCTCCGACTCTTCAGCAGAAGAAAACAGCAATGAAACTGCATCTGACTATGAGCCGAGTCTGAAATTTAAGAGCAGAAAACCTCCGACCAAGTAAGTGGGTGGAGTCAGTGGGATCATCCTGTCATTTTAGTTATTAGTCTTCAGTTATTTCCATCTTTAACAGCACTTAGCACTGTATTAATATTATTATTATTATTAGCATTCTAATGTTTTCAAATACCATTTATCATAACTTCCTCCATTTACATGG